TATGAGTCCACAGTACTCTGGGCTTTGGTGATTAACAGGGCTGGACACCAGTGAGAGTTGGAACACTAGGAGGCTGAGACTCCTGTCACCTGTGGAGGATAGGCACATTCCAGTGGTCTTGCTGAGACCCAACACAGAGGCAGCAGTTTGGAAGATTTAACAGCAGTGGGAAGGGTGCCAGAGGGGAGAGGGTTGGACAGAGCTCTGTTTGCAGGAGAAAGGGCAAGTGGATGACACTTCCCCAGCCCTCTCTCAGCCCATCTAGTTGGGCACTCACAGACAAAATAAGTTTCAAAATCAAAGTAATGAGACAAGGATATTACATAATGATAAAGAGATCAGTCCAACAAAAGGATAGAACTATTATAAATATCTATGCATCCAACCTAAGAGCACCTGAATATGTAAAACAAACACTAACAGAACTAAAGGGAGAAACAGACTGCAACTCAATTATATTAGGGGACTTTAACCCACCACTTACATTAATAGATGAACTAGAGAGAAAGTAAGTAAGGAAACGGAGGTGCTGAACAACACACTAATCAGATGGACTTAACAGATAATATACAGAAAATCCATCCAAAAGCAGCAGGATACACATTTTTGTCGAGTACATAGAATGTTCTCCAGAATAGATCACATATTAACACACAAAAAGCCCAAATAATTTAAAGGTTGAAACTGTATCAAGCATCTTTTCAGATCACACTGATACAAAATTAGAAATAAATTACATGAAGCAAACAAAATCCTACAAACACATGGAAGCTATAAACAACATGCTTCTAATAATCAACAGATCCATGAACGAATCAAACAGACCAAGCAATATATGGAAACAAAACAAAAATAACAACAGTTCAAAATATCTGGGACACCATAAAAGTGGTTCTAAGGGAAGTACATAGCAACACAGGCCTACCTCAAGAAACAAGAACAATCCCAAATCTACACTTACAACTAAAGAAACTAGAAAAAAGAACAAATGAAACCCAAAGTTAGTAGAAGAAACATAACAGAGAAGGATAAAGCAATAGAAAAAAAATTCAATGAAACCAACAGTCGGTTCTGTGAGAACAAAATAAACCCCTAGCCAGACTTACCCAGAAAAAAACACACAAAATTAGAAACAAAAAAGGAGAAATTACAACTAACACCACAGAAAATACAAAGAATTATTAGAGAATTCATGAAAAACATGCCTATAAATTGAACAACCTAGAAGAAATGGACAAATTCCTGGAAAAGTACAACCTTCCAAGACTTAACTACCCAGGAAGAAATAGAAAATCTAAACAGACAATACCAGCAACAAAACTGAATTTGTAATTAAAAACTACCAACAAACAGAACTCCAGGATCAGATGGCTTCAGAGGAGATTCTGCCATCCTTTCAAGAAGAGCTAATACCCATCCTTCTTAAAGTATTCCAAAAAGTAGAAGAGGAGGGAATACTGACAAGTTCATTCTATAAGACCAGCTTCACTCTACTACCAAAACCAAAGACACTACAAAAGAAATTATAGACTAATATTCCTGATGAACATAGATGCAGAAATCCTAAACAAATAGTAGCAGACTGAATTCAAAAACAGATCAAAAGGATCATCCATCATAACCAGCTAGGATTTATTACAGGGATGCAAGGATGGCACAGTATTCATAAATCAATGTGACACACCATATTAATAAAAGTAAAGATAAAAACCATATGAACATCTTAATAGATATAGATGCTGAAAAAGCATTTGACAAAATTCAACAACCATTCGTGATAAAAACTCTCAACAAAATGGGTATAGAGGGAACATACCTCAACATAATAAAGGCCATATATGACAAACCCACAGCTAACATACTCAATGGTGAAAAGCTGAAAGCTTTTCCTCTAAGATCAGGAATAAGACAACGATGCCCACTCTCACCACTTTTATTCATCATAGTACTGGATTTCCTAGCCATGGAAATCAGATGAAACAAAGAGATAAAAGGCATCAAAATTGGTAAGGAGGAAGTTAACCTCACTATTTGCAGATGATATGATACTATACATAGAAAACCCTAAGGACCACCAAAAAAACCTATTAGTACTAACCACTGGATTCAACAAAGTTGCAGGATACAAGTAATCTGTTCCATTCCAACATACTAACAACAACCAGTAGAAAGAGAAATCAGGAAAACAATTCCATTTCAATTGCATCAAAAAAAATAAAATACCTAGGAATAAACCTAACCAAGAAGGTGAAAGACCTGTACTCTGAAAAGTATAAGACACTTATGAAAGAAATAAAGACAACATAAATAAATGGAAGTCTATCCCATGCTCATGGAAAGGAAGAGTTAATATTGTCAAAATGACCATCCTGCCCAAAGCAATTTACAAATCAGTATAATCCCTATCAAAATACCAATGGCATTTTTCAATGAGCTACAGCAAATAATCCTAAAATTCATATGGAACCAGAAAAGACCCCCGAATAGCCAAACCAATCCTGAGAAAGAAGAACAAGTCAGGGGTATTATGCTCCCTGACTTCAGGCTATACTACAAAGTGACAATAATAGAGCAGTATGATACTGGCACAAAACCAGACCCCATAGATCATTGGAACAGAACGCAGAGCCCAGATATAAACCCACAAATATACAGTCAATTAATAAACAATAAAGGAGCCATGAATATACAGTGGGGAAAAGACAGCCTTTTCAATAGCTGGTGTTGAGAAAACTGGACAGCTGCAAACAAGAGAATGAAACTGGATCACTGCCTAACCCCATACACAACAGTAAACGTTAAATGGATCAAAGAACTGAATGTAAGTCATGAAACCATAAAACTTTTAGTTTTAAGAAAACATTGGCAACAATCTCTTGAATATAGCATGAGCAATTTTTTTCTGGACACATCTTCTCGGGCAAGGGAACAAAATAAACAATGAACAAGAGGGACTACATCAACTAAAAAGATCCTGTACAGCAAAGGACACCATCTAAAGACAAAAAGGCAGCCTATAGTATGGGAGAATATATTCATAAATATTTTATCCAATAAAGGGTTAACAACCAAAATATATAAAGAACTCATTGGACTCAACACCAAAAGAACAACCTGATTAAAAACTGGGCAGAGGACCTGAGCAGACATTTTTCCAAAGAAGAAATCCAGATGGCCAACAGGCTCATGAAAAGGTGCTCCACATCACTAATCATCAGGGAAATGCAAATCAAAACCACAATGAGATATCACCTCACACCAATTAGAATGGCCACTTTTCGAGTGACAAGAAATAACAAGTGTTGGCAAGGATGTGGAGAAAAGGGAACCTTCCTACACTGTTGGTGGGAATGTGAATTAGTGCAGCTACTGTGGAAAGCAGTATGGAAATGCCTCAAGAAACTAAAAATTGAAATAACACTTGATCCAGTCATCCCATCTCTAGGAATTTACCTGAAGAAAACAAAATCCCTGATTTGAAAAGATTTACACCCCTACTTTCATTGCTGCATTATTTACAATAGCCTAGCCAAGATATGGAAGCGACTTAAGTGTCCATCAATAGATGAATGGATAAAGAAGAGGTGGTGTGGTGTGTGTATATATATATATACACACACACACACACACACACATACACAATGGAATGAAGAAATCCTGCCATTTGCAACAACACAGATGGCCCTAGAGGTTATTATACTCAGTGAAATAAACCAGGCAGAGAAAAACAAATACCATATATTACTTACTTGTGGAATCTAAACAAAGCAAAACAGAAGAAAATAGGAGTAGACTCAAAGAGACACCGAGAAGTCATTAGTGGTTACCATTGGAGAGTGTTTAGGATGGGTGGGTAGAGAGGGGCAGGGGTATAAAGGGGCACAAAATTTCTCAATCATAATATATAAGCTGGTCATGGTAGTATAACATGGAGAATATAGCCAATGATTCTGTACCATCATTCTGTATTTACAGATACTAACTGTACTATTTGGAGTTAGGATTTTATAATGTGGGTAACAGGTGAACCACTGATTTTAATACTTGAAACTAATATAAGTTTGTATATAAACCACATTTAAGTAAAGAAAAAAATAAATAACAAGACATGGCCTCCAAATACAATACATGACCCTAGACTTGCTGTACCAGAGCAGGAAAGTGCTACAAAGAACATTAGTGAATCGGCACAAAATTGGAATAGAATACATGGTAAATTATAGAAAGATATTAATATTAAATTTCCAGAAGTTTGTAACCATACTGCTGTGATTATGCAAGAGAATATACCTGATCTTAAGAAACACAGACTGAATAGAAGCATTTATGGGGAAAGGGTCTTGAAGTACGTAACCATCAAGTGGTTCAGAATAAAATCACATACACAGAGAGACAGAAACAGAGGTCTGCATAAAGCAAATGGAGTAAACTTTTAATAATAGGTGAATCTCTGGATAAAGGATGTCTTTTGTGCTGTTTGCATTTTTGCACCTTTGAAATTTTTCCAGTTAAGATGTTTTTTAAAAATCAACATCATTGACTAATATAAATGTGTATCTAAACTCCTGCAGTGTCTATTTTCCATGTATACCTTACATGGTAATTACAACAGGGACCAGCTCAACAGGCATCAATATGGTAAAAACTCAATTAATGTTAGCAATTACAATGTATCAGCCCTAGGTTAAGTACCTGAATGCTGTCTTTGTCGGTAGGCATCCTGTAATCAAAGAGCATCTTTTATCCTTAATGGTTTTACCCATTATCAACAAACTTTAACAAATAAAAGATTAAAGAATTCAGTATACTATGACAAGTTCACAGTTTATATCCAGTCTTTTCCACAGTGAGGGATAACCAGGTATAGCTTTCATTTTAATTCATAAATAACAATATTTTTCTGGATAATATGAGGTAAAGATTATAAAGTGATCCTTTTCTAACTTTATCTGAATTCAACTGATTGTTAATATGATGATAAAGACTATAAAGTAACTTACATTTTGTTAGTTTTTTTGGACTCTCTAAAGGCACTGGCTGGTTGTCAATGTATGAAAATGGAAGTTCTAATCCCCCTTGGGAGGCCCAGCCTGGAAGAAGGGAAGTAATAAGAATTATCTATTATTAATCAAAAAAGGAAGTAGCATCAGAAAAACAAGAAAAGGTAAAAATACCTAATAAGTTCTCCAATCTTAGTACCAGGGTAAGATTCTACAGTATGAGGTATAAAATATAAATTAAAATTTATCTGTAATTTTATATTTTTATTCAAATCATCTAAATTTTGTCTCTGCTAGAGTTCAACCTCCTTACATTTTTCAAAGTGGTTTTGAAACAAATATACAAGTTTTTTTCTTTTTAAACAATTGCAAATGGATAAGCTATTGAAAGAGATGTTCTAAGGAGTTGGGAAGAAAGGAAATAGACCTGATAGTTACAATCTTGAAATCTGTAAATAACTTTATACCCTTGGACTTGGTAATCCCATTCCTAGAAATTTATCTTAAGGAAGTAATTTAACTGAGGGAAACAGTGCATGCATGATTATATTTATTGCAGCATTACTTATAAAAGTGAAAAAAGACAGTAAGGAAGGAATTAAGTAGATATGGTAGATATGTAAACAGCACTAGAAGGGAACTTAGATTATCCTGCGTACTTCCTTGTATAGAGGAGATCATTTAAGGCCCACGTACTTACTTGTTGTTCCTAGAACATACATCTTTTAACTGTCAGGGCAGCTCACTTTCCTGGTCTATATTACAGGAGAAGAAGGAGACATAAAGAGAAGTGAAGTAGAAAGAGTCCTGTATTAGGAGCCAGGAGACCAGATTTTGGTCACCTCTTAACTGTTTAAACTATCTGATGACCTTGAGCAAGACACTCGGAGTATCAACTGCCTTAGCTGTTATCATGGGACTATCCTGGCAGCCTGCAAGCAGGGATCAGCTGTTCTGAGTGGTGGAAAAATATTGTTGATATAATGTATTGCTGGAAAATAAGAGAAGAATCCAGTGCTACCAGAGATGTGGCAAAGAACAGTAGGAGTTCATAGTGGAGAATGAATCAGTTTGTAAATCTTTATTAGGCTATTGATATGCCACATAGGAATAATTTTCTAAAATTCTACTGTAGCAAGAAATCTGAAATATTTAGAGAGTGCCTCTTTCTCAAATAATACTTTTATTTGGACTATTTAACAAATTCGTAACTGTGGTTTTTTAACTGATATTTATGGAGCTCATTTTATGCTGCTGTCATAGAAAGCACAAAGATATATCACCTCATAGATATGCCCCTGAGGTACTTGCAGACTGGATAAAGTATGATGGTCCTGCATGTAAAGTATGAATGTAAGTTTTTAACACAAAGTATAATACAGTGGGACACTGATAGATGTTGTGAAGCTTCTTCTCAGGGGTTAAAATCTATTAGGGAATGAAAGGCAGGGATGTATGGGAAGATAAATTCTGATTAAAGCCCTGAAACAGATACATCACTGTGGAGGCCAGAGGTAGGAGAGGCCACATTCACCTGGCAGCACTGAGGAAGTCTCCAAGGGTTGGCCACCATGAAGAGAACACTGGATTGGGAATCTAGCACTCAGGCTGAAGCCCTACCTTCCTTACTGATCCTAAATTAAAGGAGCAATACAGACTCCAGTGGTGATAATATTTATTTTTCCAGTTTATCTAGTAGTACTGAAGTTAAAAATCAGTCTCCTTATTGATTTTAGTATCTACAGGCACATAGTTTTGCTTCACAAAGATAAAATAAGTCATTGGTGTCCAAATGTTTCATAGACACTTACTGTTGAAAGCTCTGTCAGCATGGAGGCCAAGGTCAAAAAGCTGTGAAGGAAGAAATCGTGAGGCATGACCAAGAGGCTCAGACACCACAGAAGGCTTCTGGGACATGAGACTGGCGCTGGGGCTCCCAAAGGTATCTTGGCATTCTTGGGCAAATTCACTAGTACTTGAAGAACCAGGACTTAGGAGGTTGTTGAGAAATGAGAATTCCCTCTCAAAATCATCTTCCAATGAATGTACCAGGAAATCTTTTGCAACTCCTGAAAACAAAAACAGAATTGGCTTTTTCCTTTTTGAGGAAATGAGAATAGAATATATGACAAATCAAACTGTTTGCATTGTTCTCACATTTTATTAATATAATTTTTAATGAACAGTTAAACTGATTAGAAGCTTATGTAAAGACTACATCATCAAGCTGCCAGTTTTCACATTTAATGTGACAATAAAAGGATCAATGGAGCTTCTTTTTTTATGAAGCTAGACAAATGATGTAAAGCTCATACTGAAAACATGCAAGAGTAGCTAAGAAAATAATGAAAGGAAGAGGAGAATACTAGCCCCATCAGGTATAAAGATACCTAAGAAAGTTATAATTAAAACTATATGGCACTGGAGCATGCATGCATCGATGAATACAAAGAAGTCCAGAAATACACACAGAAATTTAGTATATGACTAGAAGTTATCTCAAATTACTGTAGCAAAAATAGCATTTAAAATATGATATAAAGGATAGCCATTTGCAATAAGAACATTTAATTCATTGTTAACTACATATATATATATGAATAAACTCCAAATGAATTGGAGATGTACATGTAAAAAATAAAACTACACAAATACTGGAAGAAAGCATAAATGAATTTCTCTAACCTGAGTTTTACATATGACAAAAACCCAGATCCAATACAAGGAGATTAATAAATTTGACTACATAAATTTTTTTTAAAAATTGACATGGCAAGACACATTATGTGAAATTTCAAAAGAAAAATGACAAACCGGGAGAAAATGTTTGCAACGTAATTGCTTGGGGGAGATTTTCAAAGTAGTATGTACTAAATGCATACCCTCCTAGATAGTGAAGGTACATGAGAAAGGAAGGTAAACACAGTCTCCCTGTCCTTAGTTACACAGAGGCAGAAATATAAAAAACAAAGAATTATTTCATTTCCATTGTGATGTGCTACACAGTAGAAGTACAGGGTTGTATCCCTGTGAGGAGACCTATGCAGATTTTGATATTAATAAATGATAAAAACTAAAGAAATTTAAATAATAAACTATTCATGTAGATAAATTATAATCTTACCATTTTCAGAGTTAGAAAACTGATGTGCTTCAAATTCTCTTCCTTGAAAATCTTTTTCCTTGTGATCTTCAGCTGCTGAAACAAAAGCACATGAAAGGTAAGTTGATCAAGAAGAAATTTAGCATGCTTATTTACTGTAATATTTTATAACAGTTCAGCCAAAGTGCTCAATTGACCAAATCAGATTGTAATACATATAAAAGGGAAATGTAAATATTTAAAGAGCCATATAATTACATCTATATACAGATGTTCCCCGACCTACAATGGTTTCAATTTACTAATTTTCAACTTTTCAGTGGTATAAAAGCAATACCAATTCAGTAGAAACTGTACTTTGCAACTTGGATTTTGATCTTCTGCCAGGCCAGCAATATGCAGTGCAATACTCTCATGATGCTGGGTGGTGACAGTGAGCCACAGCTCCCTGTCAGCCACATTGTCATGAGGGTAAACAACTGATACAGGTACCACCATTCTGTCCCCATACAACCGTTGTTTTTCACTTTCAGTAAAGTATTCAATAAATTGAGATTCAGTAAAACGAGATTCAACAGTTTATTATAAAATAGGCTTTGTGTTAAATGGAATTGCCCAACTGTAGGTTAATGTAAGTGTTCTGAGCATGTTTAAGGTGGGTTTGGCTAAGCTATGATGTTTAAGTCAGTAAGTACTAAATGTAGTTTCAACTTAACAGCATTTTCAACTTACAATGGGTTTACTGGGACATAACCCCATCATAAGTCAAGGAAGAGATGTAATATATATAATTGTTTGTACATATATATAAACAAATAACTTTATAATACCCATAGGTATTCAGTCCTTTGTTATATCTATGTCGTCTTGGAAGTTAAAGATTTTCACATTCTATGTAAATCGGTTCAGCCACTATGGTAAACAGTATGGAGGTTCCTTGAAAAATTAAAAACAGAAATACCATATGACCCAGCAATGCGTCTTCTGGCTATTCATCCAAAAAAAACCCAAAACCCACTAACTCAAAAAGGTATATGCACCCCCATGTTCACTGCAGCATTATTTATAATAGCCAAGATACAGAAACAACCATCAATAGCTGAATGGAAAAGATATGGTTTATATATATATTACACATACACACTAGAATATTATTCAGCCATAAAAGAGAACAAAATGTTGCCATTTGGGACAACATGAATGGATCTTGAGGGCATTATGCTAATGAAGTAACTCAGAGAAAAAGGTGAATACCATATGATCTCACTTATATGTGGATTCTAAAAAACAAACACTGAGCTCAGAGAGAACAGATTTGGTGGTTGTCACGGGGGTGCAGCAGTGGACAAACTGGCAAGGGTGGTCAAAAGGCACAAACATCCAGTTATAAAATAAATAATTCATGGGGATGTAATATATAGCATGGTGACTACAGTTAGTAATACTGTATTATATATTTGAAAGTTGCTAAGAAAGTAGATCTTAAAAGTTCTTACCACAAAAAATATTTTTGTAACTATGTCAGACATTAACTAGTCTTATTGTGTTATTTCACAATATATACAAATATCAAATCATAATGTTGTACACCTGAAACTAATATAATGTTATGTCAATTTTACCTAAATTCTTAAAAAAGTTTCCAAATTCCAAACCCTATTCCTTCCCTAGTGGCCCTGTTCTCATTTTGTATTCTCTAAAAGGCCATTTTATATTTTGTTCTGCCTGACCTCCATGTTTACAACACAACAAAGGTCCATTTTATATTGAATGCATGAATAAATGATTGGATATGGTCTACTTTTAATTCAAAAGTTGCTTTATTCTTTTAAGAGCAGTGCATAGCTTTAAGCAGCATTTTTGCAATTCTCACAATAGAGTGACAGTAGTGATTTCACCTGAAGGGAAAGATCAAACACAAGTGCTAAACAACAGCATATTGTCTTTTCTTTTTAATGTTTTTAACATTAAAAAAAAATCAAACACACAAACCAAAACCTCCATAGGCAAAAATTGTTTTCCAAAAAAAGTCATTTCCAAGTTTTTGGCCTATGTTGATATAAATTATGCTGTATTACTACAATGGGAGCCAGTTTCTTAGAGTCAGTTTCCCATATAATTTCCCATCTTATTTGCAGCTCAGTGTACATAAAAACCAAAAAAAAAAAATCAAGTTTTTGACATCTTCAACTATTATCAGTCATTAAAAAAAAAATAAACGAGAATTTCTCCTACCTATAAAAATGGACAGTGTTGCTGTATGCAGAGCTTAAAAGATATATAACACATCTTAGTACAAGGAAGTAATATCTCTACTACATTCATATTAAAGAATGCTCAGTTTGGTATACTTCAAAAGAAAGTAGGAAAGGTTAAATTAACCAAAGTAATAAAAAAGAACAAATTAAAAGAGGTGTAAGGAATTCAGGGTTTTTAGTTTTAAGATAAGGAAGCTAAAAGATGAATGAACTTCTGAGTTCAAATTCAGTTAGTATAAAGATAGTGAAAAAGTATGCAAGATAAAAAAGAAAAAGTGAACTTTATCATTAAAGATTTCAGCTGTACATTGAAAAAATGAGAGGGAAAAATCTGGGAATGGGGAAGAGATTCTGGAGGTGGCTAGAGATGGAAGTAAGGAGGAGAATCAGGGTTAGAGGGCAGGGAAGGAATGGGGGACAAACAGTCACACCCACAGAAAATTTTGGTAAGCTACAGAAAAAGTTTGGAGAATGGAGAAACATGTTAGAGGATATTTAAGTGAAGAGTTGCTATATAAGATGCAGGGTAACAGATTCAAGATGGTGGCATGAGAGGTGAAACAGAGAACTCCCAAAACCACATATAATACAAAAATATAGTTAATACAACTAATCCTGAAAGAGTAACAGGAAAGAAGGCTGCACCAGACTGCATACACCTGGAGAACAGAGCAGACCGCACCCAACAGGGTAACGTACCGAAGCCTTGATCCAAGCCCTTCCCCCACCCTAGCTGACCAGCGGGAGGAAGAGAAACGGAGCTGGGAGAGGATGGGAGCCTAGGACTGCTGAACACCCAAGCCCTGGAGATCTGCTTTGCGAGCACAAACCTATACTGCATGGTGCTCTGGAGATCAGTGGGGTTGGAAAGCTAAGACAAGAAGAATACTTGAGAGACTGAGATTCCAGCCATTTGTGGAGGACAAGGATCCACATCCAGCTGCTCTGGGACAAAGGAAAGGTAGGGGACTGAGAGGCTTCCTAACAGTGAGAGGGCTACTGAAGGGGTGCAGTTTGCATGGAGCTTGCTGCCTGGGAGAAGGGATAGGTGAACAATGTTGTCTGGGCATGCTCTGCCCAGCAGGTAGGGGACTTTTAGGAGCTTCAGGCACTCCATCACCCTGGCTGGCTACTCAGCTGTGAGGCCCCCCACTGTGAGACGCAGCCTGCTGTGCCTTCCTCCTGGCCTGTTGGCACCAGCTCGCAAACCAGCATTCACTGCCTTGGCATCAGGCCAGCCAGAGGGAAATGCCGCCTATGACAGGTACAGATGCAAAGCACAGAGGCTTACACCTGTGTGTTTGGCCCACTGGCTGACAGTGGAGACACGCACTGCAGCCAGGAAGCAGGACACAACTCTTTCCTACCCAGAGGCTCTAGAGCCACTCCCTTGTGACAACTGACCTCACTCCAGGGGGTGAGCAGTTCCAGAGACTAGAGCTTCTGGGCACTAGAGGGTACCACATAGGAATATGAAATGTCAAAGGAACCTGGTTCAGACCAAAATCTCACAAACCCCAGAAAAACGGCCAAATGAAACTCAACTCACCTGTTTTCTTGAAAGAGAGTTCAAAATAAAAATCATTAACATGCTCATGGAGGTACAGAAAAATATTCAAGAACTCAGGGATGAGTTTAGGATGGAGATTCAATCATTAAGAAATTCCATATCTGAAATAAAACATACAATGGAGGATTTAAAAGCAGACTAGATAAAGTAGAAGAGACAGTAAATGGAATAGAAACTAGAGAAGAGGACTACAAAGAAGCTGAGGCACAGAGAGCAAAAAGGATCTCTAAGAATGAAAGAATACTGAGACAACTGTGTGACCAATCCAAACAGAAAAATATTTGCATTATAGGGGTACCAGAAGAAGAAGAGAGAGAAAAAGGGATGGGATAGAAAGTGTCTTTAAGGAGGTAATTGCTGAAAAGTTCCCCAATCCGGGGAAAGAGACAGTCTGTCAGGCCATGGAGGTACACAGATCTCCCAACACAAGGGACCCAAGGAAGACAATAACACCAAGACATATAATAATGAAAATGGCAAAGATCAAAGGCAAGGACAGACTATTAAAAGCAGGCAGAGAGAGAAATAAGATCACATACAAAGGAAAGCCCATCAGGCTATCATCAGACTTATCAGCAGAAACCTTACAGGCCAAAAGGGAGTGGCATGATGTATTTAATGCAATGAAGCAGAAGGGCCTCTAACCAAGAATACTTTATCTGGCAAAATTATCATTTAAATTTGAAGGAGGGATTAAAAAATTTTCAGATAAGCAAAACCTGAGAGAATTCACCTCTCACAAAACACATCTATGGTGTATTTTGGAGCGATTGCTATAGATGGAAGTATCCCTAAGCTAAATAGCTGTCACCAGGGGAAATAAAACTACGGCAAAGTAGAAGAATTAATTACTAAGCACATACAAAACCAAATCAACTACCCCCAAAGTCAATCAAAAGATAGAAAAGGAATACAAAATATGATACCTAATATATAAAGAATGGAGGAGGAAGAAGGAGAAAAAAAAGAACCTTTAGATTGTGTTTGTAATAGCATACTGAGTGAGTTAAATTAGACTGTTAGATAGTAAGGGAATTACCCTTGAACCTTCAGTAACCATTAATCTAAACCTGTAATGGTAGTAAGTACATACCTATTGATAATCACCCTAAATGTAAATGGTCTGAATGCACCAATCAAAAGACAGAGAGTCACTGAATGGATAAAAATACAAGACCATCTATATGCTGCCTGCAAGAGACTCATTAAACCCAAAGACATACACAGACTGAAAGTAAAGGGATGGAAAAAAGTATTTCATGCAACTA